ATAGGATAGGATAGGATAGGATAGGATAGGATAGGATAGGATAGGATAGGATAGGATAGGATAGGATAGGATAGGATAGGATAGGATAGGATAGGATAGGATAGGATAGGATAGGATAGGATAGGATAGGATAGGATAGGATAGGATAGGATAGGATAGGATAGGATAGGATAGGATAGGATAGGATAGGATAGGATAGGATAGGATAGGATAGGATAGGATAGGATAGGATAGGATAGGATAGGATAGGATAGGATAGGATAGGATAGGATAGGATAGGATAGGATAGGATAGGATAGGATAGGATAGGATAGGATAGGATAGGATAGGATAGGATAGGATAGGATAGGATAGGATAGGATAGGATAGGATAGGATAGGATAGGATAGGATAGGATAGGATAGGATAGGATAGGATAGGATAGGATAGGATAGGATAGGATAGGATAGGATAGGATAGGATAGGATAGGATAGGATAGGATAGGATAGGATAGGATAGGATAGGATAGGATAGGATAGGATAGGATAGGATAGGATAGGATAGGATAGGATAGGATAGGATAGGATAGGATAGGATAGGATAGGATAGGATAGGATAGGATAGGATAGGATAGGATAGGATAGGATAGGATAGGATAGGATAGGATAGGATAGGATAGGATAGGATAGGATAGGATAGGATAGGATAGGATAGGATAGGATAGGATAGGATAGGATAGGATAGGATAGGATAGGATAGGATAGGATAGGATAGGATAGGATAGGATAGGATAGGATAGGATAGGATAGGATAGGATAGGATAGGATAGGATAGGATAGGATAGGATAGGATAGGATAGGATAGGATAGGATAGGATAGGATAGGATAGGATAGGATAGGATAGGATAGGATAGGATAGGATAGGATAGGATAGGATAGGATAGGATAGGATAGGATAGGATAGGATAGGATAGGATAGGATAGGATAGGATAGGATAGGATAGGATAGGATAGGATAGGATAGGATAGGATAGGATAGGATAGGATAGGATAGGATAGGATAGGATAGGATAGGATAGGATAGGATAGGATAGGATAGGATAGGAAAGGAAAGGAAAGTACAGGACAGGAAAGGATAGGTTAGGTTAGGATATGAAAGTAAAAGAAAAGGGTAGGATAGGATAGGATAGGAAAGGATAGGATAGGATAGGATAGGATAGGATAGGATAGGATAGGAAAGAAAAGAAAAGAAAAGAAAAGAAAAGGAAAGAAAAGAAAAGAAAAGGACAGGACAGGACAGGAAAGGACAGGAAAGGAAAGGAAAGGAAAGGAAAGAAAAGAAAGGATAGGATAGGATAGGATAGGATAGGATAGGATAGGAAAGAAAAGAAAAGAAAAGAAAAGAAAAGAAAAGAAAAGAAAAGAAAAGAAAAGAAAAGAAAAGAAAAGAAAAGAAAAGAAAAGAAAAGAAAAGAAAAGAAAAGAAAAGAAAAGAAAAGAAAAGAAAAGAAAAGAAAAGAAAAGAAAAGAAAAGAAAAGAAAAGAAAAGAAAAGAAAAGAAAAGAAAAGAAAAGAAAAGAAAAGAAAAGAAAAGGACAGGACAGGACAGGACAGGACAGGACAGGAAAGGAAAGGAAAGGAAAGGAAAGAAAAGAAAGGATAGGATAGGATAGGATAGAGTTACAGTAGCCATAAATCACAGAATACACAATACAAGAAGAAAAAATAAAAAGCAAATTAAATATATTACACAATGTGCAAAAATATTCACTGCATTGCATGAAAAAAAAAAAGATTTTTACAAAAAAAAATTATTTTAATGTACTGTATTTTATTTTGAAAATAAAATAAAATAAAATGGTCCCAAACATGAACTAGGCATGTTTTTTGGCATAGGGAATTTTTATGGAAAACACACAATAGGCTGAAGATAAAAGTGTAGTGTATACTTCAGACCTGTGTATGGCAACAGCTGATATCTGCACTCCACAGCACAAAGCAACAAAGAGAGGAAATGTCAGTATAGGGCCTGTCCCGCTCCTCCCAGACCAGCGTCTCTGTCCTAAAATCACAGATACTGTCCTTAATCACTAACCTCCAGATACCCTTAATGAACACTATGAAGGAAAGAACAGAGTTCTCACAGAGGTGAAAGTGGCCTGGTTCGGGGCAAAATCCTGCTTTCTTTGCAGGATCTTATCAGGATTCTGTTTTTGCAAAAGTTAGCCTGGTCAGGATAACCCAGCACAGAGCTGGCACTCTACATGGAAAATCTGAAGTGGTGTGATGACCAGCATGACTACAGCAGACAAAATGGAACAGTAAAAGCTCAAAAATCTTGAAAATTGTGTTACGAAATAGTTTGTTATGAAATACATAGAAAAATGCAAGGGTTTCATCTGTTTGGACGTTTCCTGTGCTTGAATCCTGAAAGAATTCTGGATGCTTTTTAAGTACTTCAGCTGCCATGGCTATGTTGACAGTGTGTGTGGAAAAGATATCACAATAAAATGAACACATGAGAATGTGTTCATGTTCCTCTAATGTTTTGGACAGCCATATTAAAAACAAATAATTAAATATAATTTTTTTTCATGCTATTTTTATATTGTATTGTATATTATGTTATTATACAATACATTACAGTTCAAAGTTTGGGGTCAGTACTTTTTTCTAAGAAATTAACACTTCTATTTAGCAAGAACACATTAAATTGATCAATAGTGACAGTAAAGATATTTATAATGTTGTTATAAATGCTGTCCTTTTGCAATGAATGCTGAAAAAATTTATCATGTTTCCATCAAAATATATAGCAAAACAACTGTTTTCATTATTGATAACAATAAAAAAATGTTAGAATGATTTCATAAGGATCATGTGACACTGACAACAGGAGAGATAACAGCTAAAAAAAATCATTCTATCATTAAAGGGGTCATATGATGTTGCTAAAAATAACATTATTTTGTGTATTTGGTGTAATGAAATGTGTTTATGCGGTTTAAGGTTAAAAAACATTATTTTCCACATTCTGTACATTATTGTTTCTCCTCAATGCCCCGCCTTTCTGAAACGCGTCGATTTTTACAAAGCTCATCGTTCTGAAAAGCGAGGTGTGCACTGATTGGCAAGCTATCTAGTGCGTTGTGATTGGCCGAATTCGTCACGCGTGACAGAAATATTACGCCCCTTACAATACTGTGATACCGTGTCCCGGCGCGACAAGACAAAACCAATAAAACCCATTATAAACGAGGCATTTGTTACATGCAGTGGGTACATAATTACGGATTATAATGACTTATACTGTCTTTTTACACATTGCGTTGCATCGCGCCGCATAAACATAAAACCATGTCTGCATTTGTGATTGGAGAAACGACAAACAACAAGCGCTACTCTACACTGCTCAAAACTCACGTTTGAATCATCAGTGGCTAATTCTTTAAATATGAAAACTTACTTCTGTGAGTCAGAACAGCCGGCATTGTAGTCTACTCTCCCAGGTTCAGGAAACTATTCTCCATAAAATGCGCTGCACACATCCGAATATTTTAGTTGAACTGTTCTGGAACAGTGTTGTAAATACAACTTAACCACTGATTTCTAGT